GTTTGGGAGGTGAACAATAAGATGAAGAGTTATTCTTGCTCTTGAAGAAATTGAAAGCCAGGTTCAACGGTATAGTCACGCCCTTTGCTCTTGAAGGGCTAGCAACCGGAGGAGGTTTCACTTTCAGTCTTGAACACGGGACTGGAATGGCCTTGGTTTCCAACGATAACGGTGGTGATCGTGATCTTCCTGGTGACAACGCCCACTGAGAAGTCGAACTTCCATACCTTGCTAGTGAATTAGTCCTCTTGATGCCCCTGAAGCTGTTAACTTCCTGGGGATCTTCTGCGAGTGCTTTCTTGCTACATTTTCTGGGTCTTGATCTTAAATCATGCAGATATTTGGAAGGAATCTGGATACCAGGCTTACAGGATCGAACTGAACACCTCTTGTGAGTTGAGGCATCGCTCAACTCTGAATCTGATTCATGTTTAGAGGAATCCCTCAGTGGTGAAGTTGTGTATTGGTCAAAGGAATACCTTGCAGGAAGTATGAAACTCTCCTCATCCTCAATCAGCGGAGAGGGCATGAGATTTTCTTTGAGAGTTGCCTGACTTTGATGCCTGAAATCCGACTTCTGATCAAGCGTTTCAACGTTCGGCATGTTTTCTCTCTCGATGGAGTTTCTGGGGCTGAGAAAACGAGAGCCAACTTGACGGGATTTCGCTCTTCGTTCCTTCAAATGATCAGATCCATGGTGGGGAGATTTGTTCATTTTTTACTCAGAGACAAGATGGAGGAGACGTTTTGAATTATCATAAAAAGGAAGAGGCTTTTTGAAAGTGGCGACTATATAGATGAGTTAGTTGCTGCTCCTGCTTCGTCTCCAGCATCATAGGGCTGTACGGTTATCCGGTTGAAATGATGTCAGAGTTTAACGGCCCATAGAAGAAATCATGATTCCATGTGTATATTTTTCTTTTTCTTGTAATGTGATGCAAAGAGTCCAAAGTTGTCCCATTTTCTGGTTTCAAGAAAACACATCCAGGGTTGTAAACAAAGGCGATAGACCAGGAAACTCTTTCTCTGGCCTTTTCTTTTATTGCTGTTTCTTAACAAAGTAAAACTGTCAAGTGAAATATTGAAAGATGAAAACTCTAAAAGTTTCTAAAGCTCGTAACCAGGGAACCTGGCCTGGGATGGTTCAACCATGTCGAGGAACAGATAAGCCATGCCTCCGATGCCTTCAAACAGAGAATAAGGACTATCACCTCCGTGCATTTCCCCCTCTGACAGTAGCTCGTGGGCTCTATCCAGAAGGAAGCAGGCGAATGCTTTTGCCCGGTACAGATACTCAGTATTGCTCGTGGCTCTGTAGAGAGAGAGGAAAACGTATGCATTCCCGCTGATTCCATGGCAGATCCCCACACGTTTGAGCAGTCCACGATTCCAGACCACCTCTGCTGCATCTGCTGCCGCTTTCAGAAAATCTCCGTCTCCAAACACCTGCCATCAACTATGTTCAAGAACACAGACAATTTTTTTTAGTTCAAACTATATATAGTATCACCTTAGCTGCCTTGGTGAGGGTGAGGGCAATCCCTGGAGCTCCATGACACCAATGCACAAGAACATCTCTTCTCCGATCCTCTTCACTAGCAGCGTAGTTCCCACATGGAAACCGATTTTTGATCAAGTACTTGAGGGTTCCCTTCACATCCTCGGCCTCATCCGGCTTCAGCGGGACATCCATCAGAACGTTCATAATGCCTGCTAGCCCATGAGCAGCACCCCAGTACTTGTCACCGTACCATTCATACATGAGAGGGGAACTACCTTTCTTCGCCATGGTTCTTCCTCCCTTGATAACCTCGCCAACAACTTCACTCTGCCCACATAATCTTCGATTATCCAACAGATCCTCAAACGTTATAACGTCATTTAGAGAAATGCGCTTACTATGGTAGCTGAAGGCACAGTTTCTTCTCCGATGTGTTTGTTGAGGAAAAGGCAAGCCCATAAATACCCAGCTCTTCCGTATAATAACTCATCAGGAAGATCCCTAGGCAGTTCAATCTGTTCAAAACATCAGACTCAAGCCTATCCACCAAGCAAACAGTTGGGGGCCAATCAACAAAAACAGAAAAAGTATACCTGTCTGAACTGTGTCAAATAGTAACTGAGTAACTCTGCCTCACCGGCAACCTTCGCCGCAGCGGCGCCAAGAGCACAAACGCCGGCCCGGCCACAGATGAACGTCACGTCCCTATAAACCCTCATAAACTTGTTCAAGTGAATCAATGGCGGAAAAGCGAGGAGGGGAAGAGCGTACCGGGAGGAGCGGGAAGCAGCATCACAGGCTTTGACAATTTGCAAGCAGAGGGCAAGGTCGTTTGCGTTCTTGCTCATTTGATGAACTTTGAAGAGCAATAACGCGGCCCCGAGAGTGCCCGAGTAAAGAGTGAAGTCCTTCACATTCTGCCCACTAAAACCCCAAGTTTCCATCACTATCTGAGACAGAGGCAAATTCGGGAACAATTGATGAGCATTTTTAGACCAATTCCATGGAAACCCAATGAGTATAGAGGATGGAGAAGGAGATGGAATGTACTGTTTCTTTGAGATCCAAAGCAGATCGTTTGAATTGCTGCGATAGAGACGAGTATGGCATCGCTAGAAGTTTCGTCAGGGAGTCTCCTTGCGTTTCTGTATCCGTCTCCCTCGTAAAGTCGGGCATCACGTTATCGAAGAACCGATCAGCCATTGTTGCTCCACTCGCGACAGAGTTGATCAGCGGCCGTCCGGACCAAAAGGATGGTTGACTTTTCTCCAAGCGTTTAAAGCAAGCGACTCCGTGTTGGCTGACTGCTGAGTTTGTTACACGCTATCCATCCATCAACGTGTCAAATTGTTTAATGACAAGAAGAAGACGCAAAAAATTAGACCAACCAAGAACGCTGCCGTTTTCCCTCTCCTTCATCAGAAATCAAACCAACGATCAAAAATAATCGTGTCCCTGAAGAAGGGCGACGTTCGACGACAGAGATTTCCCGGCGAACGATCAGCCATCGTTCCATGACGAATCATATATTGGGAACGGCTTCCAAAGTTTCTCGAATCCGCCGCCACCTCCCGCTGCCAATGGCGACGGATTGTACGGATCCGATAATCCTCCATTCCCCGACTGCTATGGGGAGCATCATCGCCTCCGATGACATGATCTTCGCCTCCGATGGCCCTATTCTCCCGGATCCGGACGAGACGAGACGCAGGGAGTGGCGTCGGTCAGTTGTTTCTTCCCGATTTTGATTTCCTTTTCCTTGTATGAGAGATGGCTTGCGGCTAGCGACTATGGTAGATAACTAGGTCATAGTATCTTATCACTGGAACTTGCATGAATATAGGCAGCAGTTGACATGTTTGGTTTTCCATAGCAATGCGAGGTCATTTATCCAACTCTCTCGTTGAGATTTAGGAAATAATTAACTTGGTGTCTAGTTATTAACCAAATAACCGAACTAAATAAAATATAATCATAATCGAATCGAATTTGACATAACAATTATATTTTCTCTGAATCCAAAAAAACTGAAAGCTAAGTGAACCGAAACTATTAAAAAATTAACCGAAAAACCATCAGTTTTTATGAAAAAAATTACAATAAAAAACTAAATCTGAACCGAAGTTTATATAAAAACCGAATGGTTATAATTTTTTATATCCAACATAACTAGACACAAATATAACCGTTTTGAAATCGATCCGAAACCAAAATGGCCAAATTGGTAAAAACTGGTAATTACTGTAATCCTATTAATGTGCATGGCTTATCTCATACACAACTGAGGAGTCTAAACTAGGTCGCCTTTGTTTCATTGGGATCCAATTACAAATGAATAGCGGAACCCAATAAGTCATAACCGTACCTGTAGCTATTCCGGCGTAAAAAACCTAATAGAGCATTTTCATTTTTAACCCCCAAAAACCCATATTTAAACCGAATCTAATAAAAATTGATTTTTTTAATAAAAAATAGTATTTTACCAATAAAAACGAATTGAATCAAATTCAATATAAAAATCGAATAGTTATAAGTTTTTTATAAGCGAAATAAACCAATCCGAGTTAGTGACATAATGTTTTCTTCTTTTGGCGCCCATAGATTTACTACAAGCTAAAAACTCTTCTTGAATGGTCATCTCTTAGTACCTGTAACCATTTTCTTTTCTGCTTGGTCTTGCTGTATATGAAGATTCGGAGTCAGATGGATCACAGCTGAAGCGGAGGAATACAGGAAAGAAGGCTTTGTACAAGAAGAGGGACAAGAAACATTGAGACCAATAGCCGTGAAATGGAGAAGGTTAGTAGCCAGGAATTCATTGCTGTTCTGATCCTCTGGATTGGTGTTTGTGTGCTTGCAGCTTTACTTGCCCAACCCACGAAGAGCTGATCCCTCGAGAGGAGAAGAGAGGGAAAAGGGATGCAGTGGCGGTGATCAAGGTTGATGAAAAGGGTCCACAGGACATCCATGGAAGCATTATATATACATATACGTATATATATATATATATATATATATATATATATAAAATGACCTGGGCCTTCGATTGTGGGGGCTGAGCTGCCTTTTGGATAGAGATTTTCGTTGCAATTTTTCTGCGGCGGTTCCTTTGATGTTTCACGTGACTTAGGTTCCTCCCACTCGTTTTGTTTGGTTGTACGCATCGATTCGATTTGTTTTCTTCACTTCACATGTTGTTTTGTTTGTCAGATAGGATTGGTAGAATATACGAGGTACAACAGTTTTGTCGCACGATCCAAAAAGTCCCAGCTATCATATCGAAGAAGCCCAACAGTGTATGAAACACAACATACCATTTCATTTTGATAATAAAAAACCCGGACCTTTTGGATCTTTGATTATCAGAACAAAAGGGTTTACGAGCGGATCAGGACGATCAAAACTGGCTTCGTTGCTCAACATCTTACGAAACTGTCACTAGTTTCTTGAATCACTTTGTTGCATACCCAAATACTCGATGTCTCCTCCTCTGATGTGTTCTTATATCCAAAACCCTCTTTTTCATGGAACTGCAAAGTTTCCTCCCAGCTCCAATTATTATGGGTTTCTCTCACATCAGGGAAAGGGACCGGCGGACCATTACTCAAACAATAAAAGCTTCTGACGGCACAAGCCAAAAGGTTCCAAAGATATTCTCGGTACAGGTTAAATCATGAACACTGCTCAAAAGTAGCAGACATCTCATATCAACTTTCATGAACAGAGGCCTGATTCGGGACTCTTCTTCCTCTAGTTCTGTAAGCTCTTTCTTTCTCCTTCGTTTTCAGTAATACTACTCAGAAAGGCAATAATCCTCGTACTACAACAAACCATTTGTTTCTTGTTTCTCTCTGCTAAACTTTCCTTCTCCCTCTTCTTCGAACGCATCAGCATATCGGTTTCCTCCCATCACATTGATGATCTTCCAACTCAATCCACCTCCATCCACATCATTCACTAGTTTATCATATGAGACGTGACCTCCCTCACTCAGAAGTCTCAGAACCTCTCTCAGACCCTCCATGTCACCCCGACCCTCCAAATATTCCACACACGCACCAAGCACGAGCCTGTTTGGCCTCCACCCAGACTGGCTCGCCTTTATGGCCCTCTTCCACCTCTCTACTGCCTTATCCATCTGACCCACTGTCTTGTACCCAAGCGCCAAACGCTCCCACGTGCTTGCATCAGCTCTTCTCCCCTTTCGCAACAGCCTGCTCACGACATCCTCAGCCTTCTCCATCATGCCTTTCTTGCAATAACCAGAGATCAACACATGTGGTATCCTCATATCAAACAGGAGAAGCCCGATCTCCCACCCGGTGTAAACATTCTCAGCCCCCTCGATATCTTCTACCTTCAAGAGCGCACTGATCACGCATATGTATCCCGTGTTGTAGAACTGTCCCGTGCTCTTGTAAAAGTCCCAGAGACGGTAAACGTCTTCTCTTCTACCTGCAGCTCCATAGATCGTCATGAGAACCTCGCAGGCTAGCTTTCTTGACTTAGGATTCACTAACTGCTCCGATCTACGCAGCATTGCTACTGCCTTTTCCGTTGATCTTGCTTTGAGGTATGCATTTGCCACGGTAACATATGCGTGCCAGTCCAATGTGAACCCCGGATCAGTCTCACACTTCATCAGAAACTTCTCCATGCCCCCGATGTTGGACACAACTGCGTAAGCGTGCAGTTGTGTGTTCACAGTGAACCTATCAGGCTTCACATTGTTCTCCTCCATCTCGTGCAGAAGTTTCTCAATCATAACGTGGTTTCCTAGACGTGTATAGAGATTCAGCATCACATTGTATGTGAGAGGGCCTTTGATGAACCCAAACTCTCTCATCTTCTGAAATGTGGCCTCAGCTTTGTGCACAGAGTTCATGCTTGCGTAGCAGTTCAAGAGAGCACCGTATACATGATAGTCCCTCACATCCACAGGAGTGGTTTCAAAGAACTTCTCTGATTCTTCCAAACCCCGAACTTTCGCAATCAGATCGAGCTGAATTGCGATGTCTCCCGCAGAGAGATTGTAGATTCTTTGTTCAGATATCCACTCCAATATCTAACATCAAGAGAGCAGCAGTCTCAGGGTCTAAAAGATTTGTAATAATACAAAAGCAACAGAAAGAGAAAAAGAATCAAACTTGCCAGCAAGAAAACAACGAAGAAAAGGAGAAAAATTGGAAAACCATCGATAGCTACAAATACCAAAGTTCTCTATCAACACAATCAGTACAATACCGAATACCCTTTGAAGATTTATATCAACGCAAAGCCCGATAAAAGAGGAAAGCAGATAAATGGAACATTCCTGCAAGAAAAGGGCGAAGGCGTCGAGAGTGGTTCGAGAGGCAGAGATAGCTCGAAATTTTGGTAGAACTCAATTGTATCGATACATAGCCAATACAAGAGAGAAGAAAAAAACAAACTTGTAGCCACAAAGTAGAGAAAGAAAGAAAAAAAAAGTGAAGAAGGATTCGAAACCTCATGGTGGATAGGTACAATGGAGGCGTATTATGACGATATTCAGAAGAAGAAGAAGAAGAGGGATGGGAACCTGGAGGGCGTGGGAAAAGCGCTTGAATCTGCGGAGCATTTTGACCATGCTCTGGAGGTCGGAAGGCCTGAGTTGGTTTCCGCGGTCAAGCCATTCGTCGAGAAGAGGAATGACGGAAGCCGAAGGATCGCCGGCCCTCGCGATCCGGCGCCGCAGAGTGTCGTTCGGTGCCATGGAGGAGAAGAATCTGAGAATGGCAATCGGCTGACGACGAAGAAGACGGTCCATTCTCTCGATTTTTCGTTCGAGGGTTTGTGAGAAGAAGAGGGAGCGGTTTTGTTTAGTGAATATCTGAAATTTGGAGTGCCCCATCTGAGAAATGGATATTTTATTTTAAAATTTGGGTATTTGTCTGTATGATTCAATTTTTGGATATTAGTATGGATTTTGGTAATTCGAGATGGTAGCAACTAGCAAGAGGTCAGGGAGGTGAAGATTCGAATCGAGAGGAAGAGGACGCAATAGAGTGGCGGGGTGAGGCCGGCGCATTTTACTCTCACGCGAAAACATAACCTATTAAATTTTTTTCGAAAAGAATGTATTAATGCGTGTAATTTGCTCGCTCAAAAACAACCTTTGTTATTGCGATTTCATAATTAATTCTAAATATAATTACAAATTGATTCTAAATAAGACAAAAAATTCATCTGTCAAATTTTAAAACTAACTACGTTTTTTTATACTTTCATCTGCAATATGATCATAACTACTACTTATTTTAGTTATATATTAGTTATATGTTAGTCGTAATAAAGCCGAAAAAATGAAAATTCGAACTTTTTCAACCGAAAAATGGTGTGAAAGTTAAATTTTTTTTTTAATCTTTTGCGGTGGTGTACCAGCGAAATTTATGCTATCCAAATAGATCATTAGAGTAAAATGCCGGTGAGGCCAACGTCCGTCCCGATGGAGAAATTGGAGAGGATAAGATAAAAAATCAGAAGTTGGGCAGATCACCTGTTTTGTTCGGCAGATGATAACGGGGCCGGAGGGTTGAGTCCATAAGAAGGCCATGATGTACTCGTTCAAGCGACACAAGAAGACGAGAGGAGTGGAGAGTATGAAACAAATCTTTTATTTTCAGGTTTAGTTGTGTTGTTTACAAATGTGGTTACTTTGTTTAAGTGTCTGCAAGCATGTGGTCAAAATACAATACTTAACAGTTGTAGCAGCCAAAACCCAAACCCCCCTCTTATAAGGGGAGACTCATGAATGAACTGGACATCACGTCTTTGGTTGATCATTGAGTAGCAGGCTGACGATCCTCGAACTTGGTCGGATTTGCGGTTCTCCTCAGTAGCAGCAGGTTTTCCGTTGGAATCCATCACCGGGTTCTAACAGGCTATTATCTATCCAAAACCAAATTCAAAGCCACCATCATCAGCCTCACCTCCTTCGCCATTTGATGTTATCTCCTTGGCAAATAGCTTTGTTTTCCCATTGTAATGATGTATTTGGATCTATTCTATGACGACATTGTTCCTATCACTCACATTGTGTATACTCATATGCCGAACAAAAAAGATATATGAGCAGTCTCTATTGGAATTTTGATGCTGAGATTGACGCTATGCATTTTCCTGGGACCGATACAGATGGATGAAGAAGTCATTAGAGAAAGAACAAAGACCATCACCAAGAAGATGGTTCCCCGACAAATTCAGCAGCAACAATGCCTAAAACACAGTTTCCAGCAGCAAATCCAAATTAGACCCACAAAGCATCAGGCTGATGGGTAAAAATGGAGAAATGGCAATGCCTAAATGACAGTTTCCAGCAAAGCTCTGAATCCGATTGATGGATACAAATGGTGGAGAAATGGCAATACCTCTAGAATCCAACAGAACCACCGACGGTGAGAAGCCTCTCAACATATTTCCCCATGATATCAACCTCCAAATTCACCTTCTGCCCAACTCTCTTCCTCGGAATCACTACCTTCTGCTGCGTATACGCCACCAGCATGAAATTGAAGCAGCCCTCCTCATCAAACACATCCACCACCGTCAAGCTCGTCCCGTCCACCGCCACAAACCCCTTCGGTACTATGTACTTGAGTATCCCTTTCTCCGCTTTCACCTTCACCCACAACGAGTCCCCCTCCACCTCCATCGACACGATCTCTCCCGTCCCGTCAACGTGACCCTGCACCACATGCCCCCCCATCCGGCTCACCGGCTGTAGCGCCCGCTCCAGATTCACCGGCGATCCTGCGTCCAGCTCCTCCAGCGACGTTTTCCGCAGCGTCTCCGGTGATAACCCCACCGTGAACTCCTCCTCATCGAATTCCGTCACCGTCAGGCAGGTCCCGTTGACGGAGATGCTGTCCCCCAGCTTCACGTCCTCCAGCACCGTTTTCGCCCGGATTTTCAAGTCGATTCCGCCGTGATCGGCGACTCCCAGCTGCTTGACTTCGCCCATCTCCTCGACGATTCCGGTAAACACGGATCGGATGCCGAGCTTATGCCTCCGGCGGGATCTGGATGTTCCATAGACCTTGGCTTTGGTGAAGAGAGAAAACTGAGATGGATTAGAGAAGGAACCGATTTCGAGGCTCGCGGCACTGGATCTGAAGGAACCGAAGATTGGGGGTTTTGGAGGACAGGCGTTGTTGAGGATAAGATTGACAAAGCACGTGGCTGCCATTTGATTTCCAGTCTCTCAGCCTGAGCAACTTGTCGGACGAAGAAACCCACGACGACGGCGGGATTGCAGTAAAAATACAGCTCCCAAACAAAAGGGACAAAATTGAAATAAACCAAATGTTAAGGGGCGAATGTCCAAATTGGAATAAACGAAGAGTTTGGGCTGTATTTTCCAAAGCTTCACAGTTCAGAGACAGGTAAAGAGAAAACAAGGAACTTTGCTTGAATTCCAAGTCTACAGGTCCCGATTAACTTTACTCTTCTCTTTAAATCTGTTATCCAATCGAATCGTCACCGGATCAATGGCGTCTAGATCGTCGGGTCCGGGTCCGATGATATCCTCTGTTCGTACGAAGATTTCGGGAACTGGGAATCGTCTAATGGTCCTCACTCACTCGGATCCTGCAATCGGGGCAACCAATCCTAGTAAGAAGGTAAATGAGTCGTCATCCTCCGATTGTTTTTTAGTGCGGAAATTACACAATCGGTATGCCGATTTGGGAATTTAGGGTTCTGACCGATTTTACAATTTAGGAATATGTTCAACTGAAAGTTTTGTATTTTAGGGTTCCGATTCAGATGAACGCGCGCTTGTTTGTTATGACCCAATGATTGGAAAAGCGTACTGGATGAATATATGTTGGGCAATGGGCGCTAAAGCAATTTTGTTGGAAAAAGATTGTCATCGATCGATGAGCTTATTCAGCTAGTTTCATAGTCATCTGCTTCTGCTTCACCATGCATTGCAGAAGATAGTTTACATTTGCTCGATCGATGAGAAATATGATCCCTTGTTTTTGAGCTCTGCACTGTGATAACTCTGACTATTGACTTAACTGTTGACCGAAGATCAAAACATTCACCTCACCTTGATGTCGTGTGTAGTTGGTTTTAACATCTTAAATCGGACAAACTACATTTCGGTGATTCTGATGGACCGTTGCAGTCAATTTGCCTCTTGTTTCCATTCGATGTTTAAAGGTGGTCCCCGCTTAATGCCTGCAGGATTTTCACAAGACCCGAATGGCTACATCGTCGGTCTTCTCTTCTAGCTCTTAGAGTCCCACAACTCTCTGAGCCAAGACATTACTGCCGCAGTCGAAAGAACTGTGAAGAAGTATTCAGATAACATGATGCTTTTTCTTGGGGGAATCAGCTCTCGCCTGTCACAACTGGAACTGTACTGCTAGTCTGCTACAATCTTGATAAGACAATTGGAGAAATGGGATCAGATTTGACCCATGAACATGAGGAGGCGGATGTCAAGCTTAGATCTCTCAACAAACATCTTCAAGAGGTGACCTGTGCAATTTTTTTTTTAAAATTTGAAAGAACCTGATTAACAATGAACATGAAGCACATAAATTATCTGATGTAGGTGCATAGGTCGGTCCAGATTCTAAGAGACAAACAAGAGCTAGTTGAGACTCAGAAAGAGCTAGCTAAGCTTCATTTTGTGCAGAAAGAGTCATCAACTTCGTCTCACCTGCAACATGGTGAGGAGAGGACATAAACTCTTTTGGCAGACTCTAAAAATTGCGAGAGTGCATCAGACACTCATAACCAGCAGCTTGCCCTTGCTCTGCATCATCAAGTAACCCCACACCCTCCAGCAGAGATGCAGCCACAACAACAATATTACGTGCCTCCTGCCACACAGCTGTCAGACCCGCTTGTCCTAGCCCCCAATCATGTGCCATTGTCACAATCGCTCTCTGGACAGGGTCAGTTTGTGAATCCACAGCCTGCACATTCTCAATCCAGCTCAGCTCAACTGGCTCAGACATTCTCTCAGTACCAGCAAATTTGGCAGCAGCTGCAGCAGACTCATCCACAGCCACAGTTAAGGCCGCCATCCAGTGGATCCTACCCAACATATTCTCCACCTGCAGCACAAAGCAACCAACCTCCGGTAGAAATGCTGTCGATGCAATCATGGTACTCAGGAAGTACAATGCACCCTCTCCGCAGGTAAAGACTTCCTACAGTCGCCAGCCTCATGGTGATGGGTATATGCTCTCGGGTCCACGCCCACCGAGTGGATATGGCGTGCACCATTTCCCTCCCACATGATACACTCCATCAGGCGGTCCCAACCGACAGCTAATGCGGCTCATGGGGACTTGATAGAGAAGTTGGTGAGTATGGGTTTCAAAGGAGAGCATGCGATGGGCGTGATTCAGAGGATGGAAGAGAGTGGCCTATCCATCGACTTCAACGCGGTGCTACTGCAAGAAGTATTTTTTTTTAAATGCTGATGCGGAGCTTGAGGAATAAAAACTTGTATGTCTCTAACGTGGTATGTGTTGACGGTACTCGAGGCCCTTGTTTTATTGTTGGATCTTGAAGTCCAACAGCCCCTCTTGTCTTGTGGGCCTTTTGGGAGAGTTTTTCTTTTCACCATGCCCCCTCCCTTCATCTTCTCTCTTGTTTGATCTTTTTAAAACAGGAGTAATCGTATAAAAAATATCCGAATTTATACAAAATTTTTAAATAAATACAAGAACTTTAAAATTATCATATAAATATCTGAAATTTTCATAACTTCCACGTAAATATCCAAATTTTTAAATTTTTTTCAAATCAAATACGCATGATGCATCTGTTAACGTTGTTAAACGTAACTGCTGACTCAGCAAAAAAAAACTCACAAAAAACTGCTAACTCAGAAAAACAAAAATTAAATATCCAAATATCCATCTACATATATTTAAATTAATATATACATATAAATCCATATATATATAATATATATATTAAAAATAAAATTATTTATAATTAATAAAACACATATACATATAACTACAATATATATATATATCATTACTAATACATATATATTAAAATAAAAATAATTATAATCAAATTTATATACATATATAATATACATATTAAAATAAAAATAATTATAACTAACATATATAAATATAATATATATTAAAAATAATATTTATATGTATATATTAGTTATATATACAATATATACATATACAACTAATATATATTTATATATATGTGTGAATTTATATGTATATATTAATTTAAATATATGTAGATGAATATTTGAATATTTAATAATATTTTTTTTGTTGAGTCAGCCGTTTTCTGCTGAGTCAACAGTTTTTTTTGCTGAGTCAGCAGTTTTTTGTTCAGTCATCATTTGCGTTTAACGACATTAACAGAGACGTGTTTGATTTGGAAATAATTTAAAAGTCTGGGTATTTAAGTGGGAGTTATGAAAAGTTCAGGTATGTATATGACAATTTTATAGTTCGGGTATTTATTTGAGATTTTTTTAAAAGTTTGAATATTTTTATGCGATTACCTTTTAAAATATCATTGTTTTCTTGTATGAAAACCTTTTAAAATATCATTATTTCATAAAAGAAGACGAATGATATCTTGATTCTGAGACAGTAATACCTATCTGATTGTTAACTAGTTCTTGTTCAGTGGTAATTAAGGTTATGCACACAGTACAAAAGTATTTAGTAAAATATACGAGGAAAAGCGGGAAAATGGAATGCGTAATATGAAAAAAAATGAACATGGTAAGAGCGCGCTTCCAATTTTATTCGTCTCTCTGCGCGCCAAAAGCATTTTTTTTTTTGTGTGTGTTTGGGTTGAAGCAGCGCGGCAGATCCTCCCGCCAAAATCTCTTCCATAAAAACCCTAAATCCCTTATTCCCTCCTCCCACCGTTCTCCATCTCTCCTTCTCTCTCTCTCTCTCTCTCTCTCTCTCTCCTGTGAAATTGAGCGATGGTGGCTCCTCTTAAGAAGGTCTCCGGCATAAAGCCCGCAGATTTCTACGGCAATGGCCTCCCGCGCCCGCGCTTCTTCGATAATCCCCAGTTCAATTCGGAGCGGATCGATCCCCCATTGCCGGTTCTCGACCCGCTTCTGACGTGGGCCAATGACGCACACTGGTCAATGGGCGGTCTCAGCTTCACCCGTCTCCGTCTCCAGGGCCGAATAGAGGGCAAAGTCAGCAAACTCCGTGCCCAGCTCGAGAAATCAAGCCCCATCCAAGTCGAAGCCGGAAGATCCCTGAAGATGAAGAGATCTGGATCCGAGTCTCCCCCGGCGGCCCCGGTGACTGTGAAGCGGAGAAGACTCTTGGATCTCAACAATGATGACGAAGAGATAGAATCGGAAGATGAAGGTATATCTAGAATTAGGAGGAAGTTGTCGGATGATTTTGATAGAGTGGCTGGAGAGGGTAATGCCAACGTGATTGCCGCGGCTACTAAATCGCATGAATCGAAGGCAGCTGGGAAGAAATTGAAGAAGGGGAAAAAGAAGAGAGAGAATGATACAACGAGGACTTCCCCAAGGTTGGCAAAGCTTAGGTCCATGTAGGGTAGAGAGTGTATCTATCTCTGTGGATCTTTGTAGGGTAAAGAATCGGTTTAAGGGGGTTCGATGGGTTTTTTTTCTATTTCTTGGAATTCTGAGTGTAGTGTATGTAGTTTGCCCATTTGCTCCTCCGATTCAAAAAGGAAGTAGGCCTCAAGTGGATCTTCAACAAAAGACAGATTGATTACTGGCTGTTAAATTTAGCCGATTTAACATTGATGGATTAATCGCTCACAAAGAACAAAGAAAAAGGTGGCTTTTCTTATGCAAATCAAAGGATGAATGATAAATTTGTAACCTTTTAGTGTAAAGTAATCTACTTTGAAACGTAATCCCGTTAATTTTTCCAGAATCAACGAGATATTTCTTGCAGGCGAAATGATTGAACGCATCCTAACTTTGACCATCTGAACCATTCCTCTGAAAATATCTTACGCCGACCCATGCAATGAAATCACTCTCCTCGACTCCTCTGTTCTTTGGGTTTCTCTGCCATGTCTCCCAGAGCTTCTATTTTCCTCGTTTTGGCGACGGCCCACTTCCTGTTTCAATCGAGTTGGTGCATAGAGTTCGTGTACAACTCCAATTTCTCCTCCACCAACTTATTTCTTGTCGGCTCTGCCACCGTCGATTCTCCGCCGTCGATCCTCACCCTCACCAACGACACAATTTTCTCCATCGGCCGTGGCCTCTACCCTTCCAAGATCTCTGCCGCCGCCGTGCCTCTCCCCTTCGCCACTTCCTTCATCTTCTCCATGGCTCCGTACAAAAACATCCTTCCCGGCCACGGCTTCGCCTTCGTCTTCCTCCCCTCCGCTGGAATTGCGGCCGCAGACCCGGCTCAGCATCTGGGTATCTTCAATTTCACCAACAACGGCGACCCCAGAAACAGAATCTTCGGTGTCGAATTCGATGTCTTCGCCAACCAGGAATTCGACGACATCGACGCGAATCACGTGGGTCTCGATGTTAACTCGCTTTCTTCTGTTTCATCGGCGACTGCAGGGTTCTGGGGAGGAAAATCCGGCGAGAAATTCACGGAACTGAAGCTCAATAGCGGTGAGAATTACCAGGTGTGGATAGAATTCAATGGTTCAGCCATCAACGTCACGATGGCTAAAGCCGGCTCGAAGAAACCCACAAGACCATTGATAAGCACTTTCTTGAATCTCACAGGGGTTTTGTTGGATAACATGTTCGTGGGCTTCACCGGAGCCACCGGGCAACTCGTACAGAGCCATAGGATCTTAGCTTGGAGCTTTAGCAACTCAGACTTCTCCATTGGTGATGCTTTAACGACTACAAATCTGCCGTCCTTTGTTTTGTCCAAGAACTCGGTGATTCGTTCTAAAGGATTCATCGCCGGGGTTAGTATTAGTAGTCTTGTCTTCATTGGTGTTATAGGACTCGCGCTGTATGCCATCCTAGTGAAGCGGCAGCGGAAGTGGCGAGAGGAAGACGTGGAAGATTGGGAAACGGAATATTGGCCACATAGGGTTCATTATAGGGACGTATTTGCGGCAACAAAAGGCTTCTCGGAGGAGAATTTGATCGGATTTGGAGGAAACACAAAGGTTTATAGAGGAGTATTGGATGGAAGAAACGTAGCGGTGAAGAGAATAACGATAAGCCCGCGTGAGAGTGTCTCGGGGACAAGAGAGTTCTTGGCCGAGGTTTCAAGCTTGGGAAGGCTAAGGCACAAAAACTTGGTGGGGCTGAAAGGTTGGTGCAGGAAAGGTGGAGAGAGTTTGATGTTAGTTTACGAGTACATGGAGAAAGGAAGCGTTGATAAGAGGATATTTGGGTGTGAAGAGAGTTTGATGTTAAGTTGGGAGGAGAGAATGAGTGTGATCAGAGACGTAGCATCGGGGATATTCTATTTGCATGAAGGTTGGGAGGCTAAGGTGTTGCACCGGGACATCAAGGCGAGCAATGTGTTGCTTGACAAGGATATGAGTGCTAGAGTGGGGGACTTTGGGCTTGCCAAGATGAACAACACCAGGCAGGAACTGCTCAGTACAACCCGCATAGTTGGGACGGCAGGGTACATGGCCCCAGAGCTTGTTAGGACCGGACGAGCTTCGACTCAGACTGATGTCTATAGTTTCGGGGTGTTTGTGTTGGAGATTGTGTGTGGTAGAAGACCGATAGAGGAAGGGAAGCCCGGTCTAGTGGAGTATGTGTGGGAACTGATGGGGAACGACAGAGTGGCCGACGCTCGTGACGAGAGATTGAAGGCCAAAAGAGGATATGCGAAGGACGAAGTGGAGAGGATTCTTCGCATAGGGATGCTGTGTGCGCACCCAGATCCCCGGGTTAGGCCGACAATGAGGCAAGTTGTGCAGATAATGGGAGATGGCGATGGAGAGGGGATCGATAGGGAAGGAACGGAAGTGAGTTTGTTGGAGAGGGTAAGGAGCTCCCAGATGTTGGGAAGGGGCGAGGGGACACATCCGACATTCCAGGATGTTTGACGCTCTTGACGAGAGATTGAAGGCCAAAAGAGGATATGCGAAGGACGAAGTGGAGAGGATTCTTCGCATAGGGATGCTGTGTGCGCACCCAGATCCCCGGGTTAGGCCGACAATGAGGCAAGTTGTGCAGATAATGGGAGATGGCGATGGAGAGGGGATCGATAGGGAAGGAACGGAAGTGAGTTTGTTGGAGAGGGTAAGGAGCTCCCAGATGTTGGGAAGGGGCGAGGGGACACATCCGACATTCCAGGATGTTTGGAACTCTGTGTCTGGTTCCATATCGCTTTGGAGTTCAGATTCATTACTTGAGGGAAGATAAGTGGGTTTATAAAGCGGCTGATTGTTCGTTTGTTTGTTTTGTATTATACGTTAGTTGTATGAGCTCTTGTCTCTCATACGGTGCTTTCTAAGAAGATGAAATATGAAGAACTAAATGGATTCATTGTCAGACATCGTACAATGTGTGGTAATCTGATTCCATTTTGCGATTGATCATGAATGTGTGTACAAAATTAATCGGAATTTTGGCAATGGTAATTAATACTCATACTTGCCCGATTCTTCCCCTCCTACATCATTTCTTGGGTGTTTAGAACTTATATATATATATTCTTTGGGATTCGAATATTTTTTTTATTGAGGATGAAAAATCAACACAATATATGTAACTGTTTCTCCGTCCAGGTTGAAGAAAATAAAAACACTTGAAAAAAATAAATAGGTGGTTTCATAATAACCTGGAATAGATTTATTTTGTTCAGAAATCCTTATTTGTGCTTCAAGGAAATTTAAGGCGCAAGTAAATTATGTAGACTGCAAGTCTTCATCAGTAAAGCTGGAAAATTAAACCAACCCTTTGCAGTGTTGTTCGTCGCGTTCTGACCCAAGGGAAAAAAGAGAGACAGACGTTGGAATAAGTTTCAACAGCGAGGGATGGACGTCGATTGAGAAGCTCCAACGACCAGATGACTCGATCAGTTTTAAGCTACGAAGAACCCAATTCGTAGAATTTGATAATTCTCATGTACAGGCACATCTGCAATGATATAATTGTCGTCTGGTATATGTCCAATCTTCAAGTGGCTACAAACAATTTCCTTAATTTTGTTGGGCTCTCGCCTTCTCTTCAGCTAACCCTTTCACTCCGTTTGACTTCATTTGAAGCAATCTCCTGTAATGTCCTAACGGGTCGTTTTCTTCGGGATCCTGGGTTTGTTATGCGAATCGATTCTGACCCCGTAAGAAAAATGGGTACCTGGTCTTGTGATCAGAGAAAGCTGGAAATTTTGGGGGTCGGGGGATTAGGGTTTGTGAGGGGGGTTATTGTCGGTTTATCAATTTGGTTTGCTGTTTTACAGCCGGCATCCGGGCTGAGACCGATAAGGGAGAGTGCCGAGGTTTGTTTTGTATTTGGTTGCTTTAAGTTGCCTTCATTGTTGGTCAATTTGATGCCACCAGGTTTCGAATTCCGCGGAGCTTTCTATTAACTTGCCGAGCAACCTGTTCATTGACTTGTTCCTGCTAATTAATTATTGAAAGATTCTTTCATATTACGGCTGTGCTGTGGTGACTTAGCTAAGTTTGAGTTATCCATGCTTTCAAGATAATGTTAACGATATTGGAAAAAAAAAGATATCACAGTATTGACTGTTTCATCTTTACGATCGTGAAAATCCGGGATTAGATGAGTTTGCGTGTGTTAGAATGAGAAAATGTTTCTTCTTTGTGATTGAACGTACCGCAGATGTCAAGTTTTGCTAAAATTGAGTTCATTGGTTAATCTCTTAGCTTGGTTCAGCTGATAAATCTTCCGAGATGTGTCTATCGACTTGCCTAGAGTTACAGGGTGGTGAAACCTTAATGTGACCTTGTGTGGTGACGACCGATCAGATCAGTTGTAGCGGAATTTTAGACGGGATTGCGCAGTTTTTAGTCTGTATTTCTTGAGAGTTTCTGCAGAGTGTGGGGGCGGAGAATAGCACTGTTGAGTAGCTTAGAAATGCTCGAGTAACCGTTTCACGTGTGTTGCTGTTTGGGATATCGCAGTGGCTTTTTGGTAGAGAAGAAGAGAGTGAAGTGGGACCGTTTCCTGCATGGAATATAACGGGAACATATAGAGGTTTGTGGCATGTACGTTGTTGATATTTCTATTTTGTAGCTCTTTCTTTGTGTTTACGATCTTTTTCTGTCAGCCCGTATAGCGATAATTTGAACCCCTTTTAACATATACCGATAATCAGTGTGCATATACACCTCTGTGTTGTAGACTAGTTAATAAGTAGAAAGTTGGCATTACAGGGACTTGGAATTTTCTAGATTCTGCAAATAGCTCTTCAAGATTTCCAGACTTCAGAAAAGCAAATGGCAACTCTGTCATTGAGTTAGTCACAACTCCAACCAAGATAACTGCTGTGCATTATGTGCAGGTAATATTTCAGCTTCTAAAAATATGCATCACTGTGTCGGGCTTGATCTTGTAGCTTATAATATGACATACTTCTATCTATTGGTGTTAACGGGAACAGGGCAGAGTTGTTTTCCGTGATGTTTTTGGCAATGAACGCAACTTGGGTGGTGGTACCCAAATAAAAGTGGAAGGTGTATATATATGGCCCTTTAGGCAACTTCGTCTCGTGGCTAACAGGTACTAGTGGACAGTGATTTATTCACTGGTTTGATACTTTCAACATCCACGGTCAAGTTTTGAAGGTCTGTACCTTACATGACATTATAGTGGAAAGGGGACTGATTTGGGGCAAGAAGACGATCATCTCCTCTGGAACACCTATCATTTGGTAATGTTCAGCACTCGCCTAATGAATGCTAGGGGCATTCTTCTGCAGATCACTGTTATTGTTTATTATACTGTAAAAGTAGTTTTGAGAACTGAATGGGTGTCTGTCTATCTTTCTATGCTTGCGCAGCTTGGAATTTTCTCCTCACAAGTATTTCAAGAATCTCCAAGAGACAGAATAATGAGAAAGAAAATTTGTGAGTAGTATCCAAATTAGTTTTTGTGTACCGTCGTTTGTTTATGTTCGAATCTGACCTCAATGCTTTTTTGGGGATATAGCTTCGATTTTTGAGATGGAGAAGCATTGTAACATCGAAATAGCAGCCCAGATATCACATGTCGCTTCTAATGAAAATGGTGTGGTCTCTAACCATGTGGAATCTTTGCTGACCAAGCCTTGTGCTGATTACTTAAAATTTTCAAATGGTTTGAAAATTTTTACATATTTTAAATAGATGGAGAACAAGATAGTTATCATATTGAAGGTTTGATGGAAAGTCCTGCGGTAGATGACGACGGAGATTGTTTCTCACCCTTGCTGCTAAATGCAACTTCAGTAAACATTGAAGTCTACTATAACAAAGCTGTGAATTATACGTTGATGGTCACTTTCGTATCCTTTGTCCAAATGCTGCTTACTAATTTTTACCAGAAAACATAACACTGGGGGTATGTGTGTGTTTTCAGTGGGATCCTTAAGTCAGTTTTGCGCTCAGATCTCTTTTCTTCAGGTTCTTCTATTAATCCGACAAATGGAATACAGTAACACGCAATCTGTAAGATCTTGCTTTACCTTAAATGGAGCGTCTTCTATTATTATATTGTCTCATTGGAATGATATCAACAGTTTTGGAAACTCTTATTGTTGATAAAAAAAAAAAGGGTGCTGCCAAGATATCAATTGTAATGATTGGGCAACAGTCGATCATGGATTCTTATCTCTGTCTTTTACATCTGACAGCCGGGGTATTAGTTGGTAAGTATGAATATGAAACTTTGCTGCGCTTCTCAGTTATTGCACTTCTCGTTCTTTCTGAAACCAACTGCTTTCTCATGCAGAATCACTGTTTAACGCATTTGCAACAGCCGCATTCTTCAAATTCGTAGTCTTTTCGTTTTTTGAGATGAGATATCTTCTGGCCATATGGAAAGCTAGTCGGCCTTCAAACAGCGGAGATGGCTGGGAAACAATGAGACGTGAGCTACCATTTCTGTATAGTCGTTTCTGTAAGTATCAATTTCTTCGGTGTTTTATCTTATTTTACTGTCGAAAGGAAACACAAAGCTTTTGTTCTTGTGAAAGTAAAAATGAAAAGACGGTTTGGGCAATGAGATACCACATGGACCAAATCCGGGATTAGCTGAGTACTTATAAGACTATGGAGACCCTCTAGGTTTTGTGGTGAGTGTTATCCGTGAGCCTCAAAAGGGACGACCATGGCCCTGTCTAAAAGGGATGGTAGACCAAATATAGGATTGGCTGAGTCCTTGGCATACTACCCCAATAAGATCCCTGAATGCTTTTTCTTTCTTTGCCCAGATTCTAAGTTAGTTTACATAATCATATTACGGTAGCACGCTTAAAATCCTTTTCAGACGCTAATGATTGCAGTTTCTGCATTTTCCTTACAGATGGGATTCTTCTTGGAGGCATTCTGATAATGTACGGGTTACACAACTACATGAGGTCAATTCTCCTCGTCATGTACTCCTTCTGGATGCCGCAGATAATTGCAAATGTCATCCGCGATTCGAGGAAGCCTCTCCACCCATACTACATCTTGGGCATGACGGTTACACGGCTAGCAGTACCTTTATATGTTTTTGGATGCCCAAGCAACTTCATGCGTGTAGAGCCCAGCAAGGTCTGGTGTGTATGCTTATGCGTGTTCATTGGGTTTCAAGCTTCTCTTCTTCTTCTTCAGCATTATTTTGGATCGCGTTGTTTCATTCCTCATCAGGTGCGCTTTCTCTAGTTCCTCTGTACATGAAAGTGTACTTTCCTGAGACGTACATAAACAATCACATACACATAAGTGTGCTCGGATATAAAGGAGAACGCCGGTCTTTGTATCAAACTATTTCGATCTGGGTATTTTAGTTTTTGTAAACAAAAGAAACCTCTGACTGCGAAATTGCAAATACATGGAAAATCCGAAAGTTCCGTCTTATGGTAATCCTCTTTTGGCCACCTGCAGATGTTACCTGAGAAATACATCTACTACAGAAGATTATTTGATCATGATGTAAACCGTACCACCGACTGCGTCATCTGCATGACAGCCATTGATCTCATGCAGCATTCCGGCGACTGCATGGTAATGGTATGGTGGTCTCATCACTCTATTTTGTTAAACCTATTGACAAGTAAAAGCTATGATACCCAACAGTTGGTGGTGCTGCATGTAATTTCTGGATCAAAATGGTCTATATACAAAGACTAGTCCCGGGTCTAGGATGGATGTAGTCGGACCGAAGTCCCGGGGAACCATCCTGGTTATCTAAAAAAAAAGTAAAAACTATGATTTTTTATTTTGGTGGTGAATGGATTAAGAGGTAATTAGTGAGGGCAAAAGCTTCGTTTGTTCTGTGGAACAGGTGACACCGTGTGAACATTTCTTCCACTCGGGATGTTTACAGAGATGGATGGACATAAAAATGGATTGCCCGACATGTCGGCGGCAGCTTCCCCCTTGTTAGATGCTGTTCTCCAATTTGGTGGCTCCTAGGGAGATTTTTTATGGTTTCTAGTCTGGCTAATGTGGTTTGTAAATGAGGAAATTGGTGTAAGAAAACCCCACGCTCTTGTTTTCTTTTTCCTTTAAAAAATCTAAGATGACCCTTTCTTCAGTGTACATGGGTTACATTGCGGGTTAACAACGAAATATATTGTATTCTATACCAACTGTATAATGTTACAATCTTAGAGCATGTTCATTCAAACCACAATCAAATTTTACGTATATACACGTCTCAGCATAGAGTCCAATCAAGGGAATGCTGGACCAGGAGCAATGGCTGGGGCCACAGCCGGGGCAGAGGCAGTCGCGGTGGAGCATTCATGGTCGTAGCAGTCTATGGGATGCTCGAGTACGGCTTCGCATGCCTTTTGGCTCCGTTGGTGGGGTTTATCAGGCAGACAGTTCTGGCTGTCGTCAAAAGCGATTCCTCGGGAAGTCAGGTTTCCACAGATCCCTTCTTCTTCGCAGAAGTAGTTGTAGGAAACGGTGAGGTTGGACAGACTTGGGAGAACGCAGATACCCAGAGGGACGGCGCAGCTCGAGATGGGAGAGACCGGCCAGGCTGTAAGGAACAGGACCCACAAAGCCGTTGTCACTGACGTCTAAGACACGTAGCTTGTAGAGATACCCGACTTCAGGGGGGAGACAACCGGACAGGCTGGTGTTGATCAAGAGGAGCTCTTCCAAGGTATCAGCGAACCGGGCAATGGTGGGAGGGAGACAGCCGCCGAAGTTATTGTTGGCGAACACAACTACGGAAGCAGATGAGGATCCAGAGAAATCACGGGGGATGACGCTGGTGAAGCGGTTGTTGTTGACAAAAATGGCATCGAGGGGTTTGGTGAAGAGGGTTGGAGGGATGGGACCTTCAAACTCGTTGAAACGGAGGTCGAGGTACTTGAGGGAATGGAGAGAGAGGACAACGTCAGGGAAAGGGCATATTTGGCACAAGGGAATAACCAGTGCCCTGCTGGGAAAGAGGGAGGATGCCGCAGAAGCGGTTGCTATTGAGATGGAGAAGAGCAAGATCCGTGAGAAGGCCAAGGGCTTCTGGAAGGAAGCCGGCCATGTCGGCATGGTTGAGGTCTATCCCAGCCACCACTTGGGTTTTGGGTTCAGATGGGGAAGTTGCACAGAATATACCTTTGTAGCTGCACACCGACGCCCCTACCCAGTTGCCTGTGAAGTTTTTTGGGTCCGAGTAAATCACCTTCTTCCACTCTTGGAGCGCCACATACGCACGCTGCAGGTACGGGTTTGGGTTTGGGTTTGGTATAGGGATAGGGGATGGAGAATGGCTTCTGTGGTGGTGCGGCCTATGTTTAGCAGCTACAAAAGAGACATGGACAAGGATCCATATGAGGACACCGTGGGAAGATTGGGAGAGAGCCATTGCTGGAAAGGCGGTGCAGAGCCACTGTTAATGGTCAGGGGCTTTATATAGAGGCCCTTGGCAAGTTAGTCTCTCGGGTAAAGATTGAAGATGATGAAGTTAACAAGGTTGCCATAAGACAAAGAAAAAGACGTACCTCCTTACTTGTAGCTTTCCGCAGTGGTTTGAAGTGGGATATGAGAGAGACAGCTTCAAGATCCAGAGTCGTCCCTACAACAGTGATTTGCTTACAACCCAAGAAAATAATCAGAATAATAGTCAACGACCGAAATCAAAACTCCACGTGAGAGAGAAAAGACATTTGGGTTTTGATTATTCCAATACTCTTGAAAGAAACTAAAACAAACGGCAGCACCACACTACACGACGAGTTCACTCAAATTTCTGAAACACCCGACTTCTTACTAAATCTATAGACACCAGAAAGCACTGACAGATTATCCCTTCAAGCTTTGACAAACACCACACCCCTTTAGGGTTCTTATTTATTTTTTCTTCATCATCATACCAGCGAGACAGCTGTTCCATACCATATTAGCCGCCACCAGATCCGTATTTCTTGCCGAAGATAATGAGCTGAAGCTTGTCGTAGCCAGCGAGCACTCCAGCACCAGCAACAGCACGAAGGATGTTGGCACCGGCACCCTTGAAGAGGGACTTGGTCCCTTCATTCTTGATGATCTCAGAGAACGCATGGAGCGAGCTCTTGTACTTCACAGCCTCTCCAGATGTCATCATCATTCTTCTACGGACTGTGTCAATCGGGTACGATGCCAGTCCAGCACCTATTGTAATACCCCATCCAAGTAAGAAACTAGCAAGGAAGCTATCCTGTGAAGACAAATAACCAAAAGAGTTAGTATGGATTTTCTTCAAAGTAAATAGCTACACAGGAAATTAACATTGGATCATGTGCTAGAGAGAAAGATCTTCGGTACCTGGAGATCACCAATGAGAACAACGGGCTTCAGGGAATCATACAATCCAAAGTAGAGTCCACGGTACACGACAATCCCTACACATGAGATGTTAAAACCACGGTACAGCCCAGCAATGCCATCAGAGGCGAGAGTCTTCTTGTACACATCGATCATGCCGTTAAACTGCCTCTGACCACCCTTCTTGGCTGCCTTGGCATCGTTGGCCAAACGGGTACGAGCATAATCCAAAGAGTACACAAAAAGGAGAGATGATGCCCCAGCAGCGCCACCAGACGCCAAGTTCCCAGCGAACCACTTCCAATATCCATCTCTGTCTTTCTTGAAGTTGAACAACCTCTTGAAGTAGTCTTTGAATGCAAAGTTCAAAGCCTGCAAAAGACTTCTTCCTTTAGGTTTCTCGCCACTCAAATGTATCCAAAAGGTTAAAGCCCTGATTCATGATTTATGATGCTTAGAACCAACAAAACCATGCCTTTTTAGTATTCGAATAAACTTCCAGCGTTTCCCCAACCATGTTAAAGTGATGTATCAATGTTCAGTACATGAAAAGAGAAATTCACCCAATGAAACAAAATACCATGCAAAAACTCTCCATTTTCAGTAATCACGGAATTGGAAAACTTATGTTTACCAAGAGTATTTGGATTGGCAGATGTCTTAAAGAGTGTTTGACATTGTTTACTGAGAGAAAACAACTTCTGTTTCCTTTGAACTTAGGGTTTTTCCAATATGATCACAAGGTCACAAGGGTTTGCCCGAAAATAATTGGATCCAATATCTAGCGTGATGATGATGAAGAGGCAGCTAACCTGGGTGGGGAAGTATCTGATAACATTTGCAGTGTTGCCTCTCCAAAGAGCCAAGACACCTTCTTCCTTGATTGTTCTGCCAAAACAATCACCAATTCCCTTGTATGGTTCAGACAGACGCCCGGCCTTGATCATTTCGTCCTGGTTCTGGATCAACAACTTCACACGCTCTATTGGAGCAGCTGCTGTCTTAGAGACAGCAGCAGAGACTCCACCCATTAGGAAATCAACCAAGAAAGCAGAACCGCCTTTCTCCGCAGGAGCTTGAACAAATACCGGCGAGGAAATATTTGGCACAAGGGAATAACCAGTGCCCTGCTGGCATGTTGGCTGCAATAGACTCTGCAAACCTCCATTGACATAAGCACCTGTGTGCACACTCGAAGAAAGTCTAGAGATCAGTAAGGATTGTCCATGAAGCTTCTGAAATACTGGTGGATGCCTTGATCCATCCATCGTTTTGGAAACTAAAGAAAGGTGACCTGCAAACCAATAAAGTGAAGCAATAAATGAAAGATAACACATCAAAATTTTCGCTTCTTACCTGGAAAAGGAAACATTAAATCATTTCCCCTACACTAACAGCAACACGAATTGTTCACAACACTCATATCACCAACCGAACAATTTACAGGATTTGATTTTGCTCGAAAAATCGACTAAAAAGATAGAGAGAAAAAAACTGTCCATGCTCGGCAATACAGAACCCAATAGCAACATCCAGTCACAATTTCACTGGATCAACGACAATGCATCCAAACCGAACCTAAAAGAGCCATAATTCCAGAAGATAGAATCCTATTCAAACTCGAAACTGAACCATCCCTCGGACTAAGAAAACACGAATAACACAGACAAGACCGAGTTACAAAGGAACAGACAAAGATAGCAGCAGCACAAAGAACACGGAGAAACAAAAAGAAAGAAGAGGAAAGCACCGGGAGAGAAGAGAGCTGTACCTGAGCAAGTGGGAGGGAGAGCAGTGGCAAAGCGATGATTAGGGTTCTACAAGGGTTGGGGAGGAAAGAAAAAGACGGAGTTATCCAGCCGGGAATAGAGAAACTACGAGAATACCACTGATGGCCCGTCCTCCCAAGGTTCCGCCCCATTAGATATATATATATATATATATATATATAATTATTTTATATTGACTTGAGAAATTTGTTTGAGTAAGGTCTCGTTGCTTTGATTGTGAATAGATCTTTCCACATTTCCACGTTCGAATGTGATCGGCCAAGGTGTTAGCACCTGCATCTGCATGCATTCCATTGTTTTTTGATTACATACCTTTCAGTGTCCACTCGAGAAATCTGGACCTCGGTCTAATTGTAGGCTTTTTTTTTTTGTAACGGCGAAAACTCAACCACAGTTTCTTTAGACGTGATGATAAATTTTCGGACTTCTCGTAATAGTCTGGTCCACTTGAGAAATCTGGACCTCGAGTATAATTGTAGATTTTTTTTTATAATGACAAAAACTCAACGATAACCCTTTAGATGCGAAGATAAATCATCAGACTCCTCGTAATAGCCTGACGTGAAGGGTAAACTACCCAAAAGGTGACATGAAATCGAACTCATAACCTCTTAGAAAATTATGGAGTGACGGAAGCATCGAACGCCATAAGACTCGCCTTGTCGCCAAGGGTTTCACACAAACATAGGGCGAAGATTATACGGAGACCTTTGCACCCGTGGCTAAATTATCTACTGTTCGTGTTCTCTTTTTCCTTGCTACTAATCTTAATTGGTGTCTTTGGCAGACGGATGTAAAAAATGTTTTTCTTCAGGGGGAACTCGATGAAGAGCTCTACATGAAACCTCCTCTGGGTTATCATCTTGCACATGGTACCATGTGTAAGCTCAAGAAGTCTATATATGGTTTGAAACAATCTCCCCGTGCTTGGTACCAAAAGCTTCATGATGCTTCTTGCATTTGGCTTCTCTCAACTGATCACTCTCTTTTCTTCCGTACGTGTGATGGTGGTATTGTTGTCTTACTTATTTATGTGGATGATATTATTTTGACTGGTGATTCTATTCAAGATATCGCTCTACTAAAGTTTACTTGCAGCACACGTTTGATATTAAAGACCTCGGAGAGCTGAAATACTTTCTTGGAACCGAAGTCTCTCGTTCCGACAATGGTCTATTCCTCTCTCAACAGAAATACACACTGGACCTGCTACAAGACATGGGAAAGATAGGGGCCAAGCCAGCAAGAACACCTCTAGAAACTAACTACAAGGATGCATCAGATTCATCCCCCTTGGACACCGAACGTTTCCGGCGAGTGGTAGGTAAGCTGATTTATCTTATCTTTACGAGACCTGACTTAAGTTTTGCGGTGCATCAGGTGAGTCAATGGATGCACGCACCTACCGTTCACCACTGGCATATGGTGGAGCGTATTCTACGCTATCTGAAAGGCTCGCCAGGCAAAGGGATTTGGATGCACAAAAACAACCACACCGAAATTGTTGGCTACTGTGATGCAGATTGGGCTAGAGACAAAGGTGATTGCAAGTCTACCACAGGCTACTGCACCTTCGTTGGAGGGAATCTTGTCACTTGGCGAAGCAAAATACAAACGGTGGTGGCACGGTCGAGTGCCGAGGCGGAGTATCGTGCCATGGCTAACACGACATCTGAGATCATTTGGCTCAAGACACTCTTAGGCGAACTCGGACGTGACTCAACATCTCCAATCACTACAAAAAAAATGGTCATTTCCAACGGGTAAATCCGTTGGAAATGGCCAAATTTCCGTTGGAAATTAACGTTTCCAACGGATTTCCAACGGATTTATCCGTTGGAATTTCGTCGTTAGAAATCGGTGTCCGTTGGAAAACCGTTGGAATTTTCAACGGAATTGCAACGAATTTTTCCGTTGGAAATTTCCAACGGATTTCCAACCGGCATCCGTTGGAATTTTCCAACGGATTTCTAACCGCAATTTCGGTTGGAAAATTCCAACGGAATTTCCAACCGCAATCCGTTGGAATTTTCCAACGGAATTTCCAACCGATATCCGTGTTGGGTTTCACTACGGGTTCCTAGCATGCGATCATATCGATCTAGGGTTTGGTTTACTAGGTTTCATGCAGCGGAAGGATAATCTAAGCCTAGTCAAACGTCACACGCAACCAAACCTGCAAAACCCGAACAGATCGTGTATATCACCGTGGGAATCGAATACTTACCTCTTTCTTGAAGAAACGGAAGTAGGAGTCGATCCGGGGCCTGTTTAATCACCTAGGACTGAAGTTACAGTCCCTCTACACGTATCCACACCGACGGGAAGGATTCCAAACGCTTTTGGAACTGATCTGCTAGGATCTGTGAAGTGAATAGAGTTTCCAAGACTTGGGATCGAATCCCGGGAACTAGAACTTCAAAAGAAACGATTTTCTTATGTTCTAGATCTGTCTTAGGGTTCTGTAAGTCGAGTTATCTCTTAGGACGGCGTCCAACACCCTCTTTATAAGTTAGAAACCCTAATCCTTGTAAAAAGAGACTTTTTCCGAGTATTGACTCGGTCCGAGTCAGAACTCTGACTCGGTCGAGTCAGAACGAATCAGCCCAAGCCCATCAACAAGTTTTGACTCGGTCGAGTCAAAACTCTGACTCTGTCCGAGTCAAAACTCTGGGAGACACTTTCAGGCCACGAAATCTAGGGTTTCACCCTAATTCGATGCGCCATCAAGCCGTCTACTTCCTGAAACTCATCCATGCATCAAATAATATTCATAATATCATAAACATGCATAGATCAGGCCTATCATGCAATTCTAACCATTAAAATCATGTAGGCAAGCAACAAGCACGGCGATATACAGAGAACCAGGCTCTGATACCACTGTTGGGATTTAGGCTACAGATTCCTAGCATGCGATCATATCGATCTAGGGTTTGGTTTACTAGGTTTCATGCAGCGGAAGAATAATCTAAACCTAGTCAAACGTCACACGCAACCAAACCTGCAAAACCCGAACAGATCGTGTATATCACCGTAGGAATCGAATACTTACCTCTTTCCTGAAGATCTGAAAGTAGCGATCGATCCAGGGCCTGTTTTAATCACCAAGAGCTGAAAGTACAACTCCTCTACACGTATCCACACCGACGCGAAGGATTCAAAACGCTTTTGGAACTGATCTGCTAGGATCTATGAAGTGAATAGGGTTTTCAAGACTTGGGATCGAATCCCTAGAACTAGAACCTCAAAAGAAACGATTTTCTTGTGTTCTAGATCTGTCTTAGGGTTCTGAAAGTTGAGTTCT